GTCCCATTAAGCAACCAAATCGTACCATTTCTGACTAAGACAAGTGAGAAGAGGAAATCTAACAGGCTAGAAGGCTTTTCTCTAACTATACACTGAGAGGCAGTTAAAGTGACAACTGTGCCAGCATTAGGGATATAACTCAAATGAAGGTGCTGTCAGAGCAGCAGGGACTAAACAACTGATACTATTTTGTGGTTTGATATGCAGAAAGCTCTCTCTGGGCCTGTGGTGAATTCATTTGAATTTAAAATCAATTAAAAAATCAAAATAAGAACAACACTGCAGATAAATGACAACATTTCTTACTGAGAAGACCACATAGAGGGTCTGAAAAGTTCCATTGCAATTTAGGAAATGCAAAACAAGATATTATAACTGTATTTATCACAGCAGATGTGATGAAACATCACACAATTTGCCAATTATATTGTCACTTCTCAGACATATTCATAAAGAAACTATTATGGTTCTTAAGCTGGGAAGAATAGTTTAAAAGAATTGATCACGACTCAGAACAGAAACTGGGTGATTATCAACTCTGAGAGTTTATCTTGAAGACAATTTACAGACAACATATAACTCCTTTGTTCATACCTCATTGCCAATATCATTACTGCTTTAGCAAATGCATTTATAGCACTATTTATTACGTAAAATTGTCACTGGGTGATTTTTATTATGCTAGTGACTTCTTGCTTTCTCTCCTTGCTTCTTAGGTTCTAAGCCACTCTTTAGAATATGCCCCCAAGAAGTGTATTCATACTACTGGGAGCTCTGGCCATTCAGCTGCGGGAAATCTCCGTTTGCTAGAACCATTCTGGTCGTTATTATTTCCTAAAAATCGACAAGTTTAACTTCCAAGGACCTCTAAAGTGGAATCAAGACTAGGGTAAAAATCCCCTCAGGACCCCTTATGTAAGAACAATTTCAAAACATTACAGTATTAATTTAAATATATAAATTGTACTAGCCAATTATTAGTAGTAATATTCCCAGTGTAAATGTTAGTAAGCATTTAATTGTATGCAATCATATATTCCTTTCAAGCAGGACGTGAGGAAGCGTAAATATACGTAATGAAAAACACTCACCAAATCTGTATCCACTGAACTCATGGAACTAAACCGTAGTAATTCTGTGATGTATGAATTCGGCGTACATCACTGACATGAGCGCTTTCCAAATATGAACCACCTGAGTACACACAGATGCTCACTGCGCATACTGAGCGGCTCTTGCACACATTCAACAGACAGCTCATTAATGTACGAGCTCAACAGTATAAGGGAGTTGCATACTGCGCTCCCTCTTGAACGCAACATGTGTACGTACACATGTACAAACAGAGGCGACACAGGTATTCATCATGTGGTGAGGGACTGGGGAAAGCCATCTGCTTCTGAACTTTGGGCTGTTCTGATAGATGAGATCCATTTTTTTATAGTGACCTCATAAATCTAACACATATTCTGTTAATACTGCCACTTCAGCCTGAAGAGGCTGTTGGCAGTGATTCATGTCTGTAGCACACGTACTAAAAGCTATTAGCTGTATGTTTACATTGCTAATCTAATAATATAGCTAATAGGATAGCTGAGGGCATAGCAAGAGGAACAGGACATGGTGAAGACTGAAGGCCACTGACTGAGAAATCAGCCTCTGAATCCATGTTGATCAGTGCCCACAGGAATGGCTGTGCCCATTCACTCAATGTATGCACAGTTCCCTTCCCTAACTATCGACTGACTCAACAGTGACACCACTGCCCCCTACTGCCAAACACCTCTGCATGCCACTGGCTATACAGGAACCTCACAACTAATTATAAGTGACTCATAGTTGTTACCCAATGTGCAGACGGTAATATGTTTGAGTTTTAACTCTGCCAACAGGAGATGAAAACATAATTGCATTAATAAAACAGACAATTAAAAAAAATAAGTCAACTGACGATTCAATTCATGAATAAGTTATTAAATATATAAGAAAAATATATAAGCCTGATTACAGTGCTAGGGGAGGGCCTCTTAGCACAAAAAAACATTCAAATAGATACTCTTTTAATTTCTTTTATATATCAAACAAAAAGAGCAGAAAATGAGAGGCAGGAAATGGATGTTTGGCGTTTTTGATTGACTAATTAATCCTTAATTAAATAATGAATAATTGTGTTGATCCACCAGTGACTAACAATTCATCAGTTGGCTAATCATTATACATGTTATTTTATAATTCGTCTTGTTTCAATATCTTTTGAGAACACCAAAAATTGTGATGTTTGATTTCCTCACTATTGCTTTCCCGTAATACTGGGACAAATATCCTCTGTTCTTGAAGCAGTGAAGTTGTCTGCTGCCCTGTACATATACTTGTATTTCAGAGCTGGGCTGTGGGGCCTGATCTCCACTATCCAACAAGGTACAAGACTCACCAAGGACAAACAAGAAGCAGCTCAGCAGGGCAGAGAGACTCCACACCTTTCAGTTAACACCTTGTTAACAACATGGGAATCAATAAAAGTAGGTAAATATTATCCCTGCTGCCTTGAACAGTCTGGGGACTCACACTGCTTCTTTTAATGGGAATATTATTTTTGACTCTGCAGGTGAGGCAGAGCGAGGTGAGAAATCAAAGTTGCTGACATCACGGGCAGAAACACGGCAGTAAACCTCATTTCCTCCTTAAGCATATACTGAATTAGAGTTAAACTCATCTATACTATACTATATACTATCTACTGAGAATGACATTCACTTAAAACAACATGTGTGTAGAATTGCACATATCATGTCATGAACAAGTGACAGCATAGCCACAACTGTGGTCATGTCATGCTAGTGGTATTGTAAGTTCACTTTATATTTTAGACCTGCATTACCCTCTACCCTTCCTGCTTCCTGTCCCAGCTGCAAGCTTTATATGACCATGGCATGGTTAAAGGGACAATAACACTGGCCGCATGCCTTTCTCTGCATTGTTTCACAAGAAGCAGTGATCATCTTGTATATAATATACCTGAAAGGCAAAAAGAGCAGGATTTGTTACTCCTCCCTGGCTCAGCAAGAGAAAGTGAAGGAAAAATGGGAACAAGGATGAATGAGAGAAATAAAACATTGTTTTATTATTGTTTTGTGGCATTTAGGTTCTAAAGCAGAAATAAACACTTCCACACCTCCGCACAACCCTGCGGGAAAGAGCTGCATTGTGTGAAGGCAGACAGACACAAGGACCGGCAGCTTTTTATATACATCCATGAAAAAGACAGAGAGCAGAGGAGACAGACGGAGACAGCGATGTTGGTTGCTATGTTTATTAAAGGCCTCTGCACACCAACCCGTCGGCAGAAAAGCAGTCCAGTACTGATCAGTCAGCTCTCGTCTCCTCGAGTCGGTCCCAAAAAAAGTGCCTCCGAACACACCAAACCTACACCTTAACTGGAGCGTTACGTTCCTGCGGGTGCTGCGAGAGCGTAATACGTCCACGATAACAGCGGCGGCCGCTAATCTGTGTTGTCGGGCCAAAAAAATTAAAACCAGGAAATGACGGATCATTCTAGACCTAGTAAACACAGACGCACGCTGTCCGTCAGTTCATTGTTTTCATCCATAGTTTGAGTAGTAGTCAAGAAGGATCGTATTGTGCATTACTTCCCTGAACGGAAAATATGATGGCTAATAATAACAGAGATATCTGCGTATGGCGTAGTATGTTTACCATCTCAACTTCCGGTTATTCTCGTGTCACTCACTGATGAGTTCTAAAAGGGCTAGCGAATCAGATGGTCATTGAGGCCGACCCACTGCGATTCGACATGTATGAAGGCCGACGACGACTGACGACGGCACGGGACACACCGAACCGATTCGAGTCACCGACCTCGCCCGACTGTCCGACGACGTCCGACGGCCGATAATCGGGTTGGTGTGCAGAGGCCTTTAGAGTCCTGACCTCCTGAGCGCTGCCCAAAGGTTGACAACCAGAAGCATCCCGAACACAGAAAAATAAGAAAACACAGGGCCGCGGGGATTGACTGAGAGGGAATATTTTTGTATGAGTGATGCATTGTCTTTTAAGAAAATTCTACTCATTATGCCTTTAACTTATTCTCTTAATTCAGATAGTAACTTGAGTATGTTTTATTTAACTTCCACTTATCGTACTACACCATTTGAATAAATCCAAATAGCGTTTCTCAAAGAATGACAAAAGTCATACATTTCTAAAATGATCACAGCAAAGCCCTCTAAACTCTGTGGGCTTAAGTTGCTTCTCAGGAGTAGTCTTACCTTATCTCCACCACTGTGGCCCTTTCAATTACTGATATCAATAAATCTCAGTGACGTTTATTGGAAGGAATTGATCAAACCCTCTTGGTTTGATTGATCTTCTGTCTTTGCAGTTTCTTATTTTACATAATGTGTGTTGCATAGTGGAAATCTCATTAGAAACAAGCTACCTCAGTATTGATGAATCTACATGCAGTATTACATGGAAATGACAGCCTTGCATCTATTATATCAAGGTGTCAAAGTTGATAAGCTGTTGATTTATTGAAAAGATTTTATCTTTTGCAACCTTTATCGTGCACGAAAAGTGGTCTTTACACATAATAATGGAGATCACACCACACCATGCACATTACAGAAAAAATATATCTACACTTCCAAGAATAAGACTAAATAAAAAAATACAATATGCCACAAAAGGTTGGTGGAAACCCTGGTCTTATTTTGTGTACTTTTCGTCTGGCTGTGTTTTGGTCTCAGTTCCACTAAAGGGAAATTGAAATGCTACAGCATATGCTGATATTTTAGACAACAATGAGCTTCCAACAACTGCACAGAGCCTGACCTCAACCACATACAACACTTTTGGAAAGAACTTGGGCGGCAACTGCGAGCAAAGCCTTGCCATCCAGCATCAGTGGCTGACCCCACCATTTGGTGCTTGATTTTAAATGGTGTGTGTGTATGTGTGTGTGTGTGTGAGTAAGAACCTACTTGACATTGGTGTTGGTGCAGATGATGTACTCTATCTCATCAGAATATGGGTTCTGGAAGGTGAAGCTGCTGGTTCTGATCAGCATCCACTCCCTGTTCTTCATTCGGAAGCGATACATTACCGACAGAACCTGACCCTTCAACTTCACCACCTGCAGAGGGAGGAGAACCACGGATTAACATTGCTGTTTTTCTAATACGTCTTCATTATCCAGCTGGGCCCGGAGGAGGAAAGAGTAGCAGAGACTGAAACTAATGTGACAACAGCTTAATGTATTTTTCTTCCCATTACAGGCTTCTTCAGATCTGTAGTTGACAATATCCAGCGTGTTCACCTGAGAGTAAAACATTCAATTAGCCATGATGTAATCAAGTCTAAATTAAACTTTTTTAGCTGAGCAGTCTTCACTGAGCCAAGAACAAAGTGGGGACCCATTAAATCCATTTTAATTTTCAACTTGTCACAAAAGCCAGTTTCATCTGGGTGGAGGGAGAATCTTAAAGAGTGTAATTAGCAGCTATTTTATTATTTTATTATGATAACCCTGATTTCTAAGTTCTGGGTAGAGCTATCATATCATTTTCTGCTGTGTCATGTACCCTCTGTGGCAGGATTCTGGTCCCAATACTGTGCTCCCGGTTTTCCTCCTATGAGCCAATCACTTCGTTGACTGTCAGTCTGAGTAATGAACATTTCTTCCCAATGTGAAACATATCTAAAATGACTGAAATAAACTGCTGAGGACGCTTGAAACAGACAGACAGAAGGGATGGGGAGGAAAGGAAAATGTTGCTCTGGTTGAGTTCAGCTACAACAATACGGTCAGAATGATGCTGTTTTGCTGACAAATAGTTTTTATATGGTAGAGATTTTATATTTATATGGTAGTGTGTTCTTTATACTATCACATTTTTTCTAAAATTAGATCTAAAAATAAATAAATCACAATATATTGAATCGTAAACCCTGTATCGTGATAGGCATCACATCACCAGATTCTTGCCAATACACGGCCCTAATAAATAGAGAAGATTCTGGGGTTTCTCTGATTACATAACCAATCATTCCAACTTTATTTGTACAGCACCTTTCATTCATGTCAGTGCAGTTCAAAGTGCAGTTCAAAGACCACTGACGAGCCGATATTAAGACAGAACAAGTGTAGATGGTAATAGAGTGAAATAAAAACTAGATAAAATAAATTAAACAAAGATGAAATTTGTTACAATTAAAATAGTTTTAAAAGTAAACAGAGTTAAATAAAAGCCAGACCAGATACTAGATAAAATAGATCAGGATGACAAGATAAAGTAAACACATAAAATTGATAAGGGATACAAAATCAAATATTATTAAAAATAAAAATAACAGATAAAATAATATAGAATAAAACCTTATAACAAAATAGAAAAAGGAAGTGAATAAAATAAACAAATGTCCATAAACCAATTTTACCAGATGAAATAAAACAACTACCTTGATTAAATAAACCAGATCAAATAAAATAGATGTATCTATATATCTATTTTAATCACCTAATTAAGTTGTGAGTATTACACACTATAATTTAACATGTTAGACAATTGCAGCTGACCCATTTAGAATCAGAATGAACTCTATTAGTGATTAAGAGGGCTAAATACTTGCAGACATATGCAAAAAGCATAATCAGTGAACCTAATCATTCAGCCTGCCAGTACTCCTGTCAGTCAAACCAAAGTAGGTAGCATGTCTGCTAAGAGACGAGCCACTTATATATATACTTGAACAACTAAAGTGCTGATGGATTGTGTGTGTGTGTGTGTGAGCTGGATGAAAGCCAGATGTTTCCACTGTGAGCAGAGAAGGAAAACATTCCTGGTGCTTCTGGGTTGGACCTTCTTTTAATAATCTCTACATTTTTAATGTATCTAAATCTAATCTAATATGGTATCTAGTCTTTTTTATGACTAAACACTTTAAAGGTCCCTCTTAGCATTTTAATGTACCATATAATAATTCTGCATTGTGCAGTCTAGACTTAATATAGCAATATATATATATATAAATGAAGCGTGTCATTTTGCTTTCTTCCTCCCACACATCCTAATAGCATCACAGTGGGCAGTTTAGTCTGGCGGCGGTGTTGAAGGCTATTCTCTTGGTTTTTCAGTGCTTCAATTTATCAGATTAAGTTGTAACCTGTAACCCCAACAAAAGCATAGGCATAATATCCCAGTGCTGGCTTTGCTACACTGGCTTTCTGTTAAATGTATGATTACATTTAAAATCCTTCTAATTACTTTTAAGGTCTTACACAATGTGGCCCTCCATATATCCTCCATATATCAGTGAGCTGTTAATCCTACACGGGTCTCCAGGTCATCAGGTCAAGGGTTCCTGGTTGTGCCCCACTTCAAGTTCAAGAGAGGAGGTGACAGAGCTTTAATGTAGCCTGCTGACTATATAAAAATGCAGTTTCTACAGTGAATAATAGATGTCACTATAACCATATGGGAATACCAGTCACAGGACTAAGATTAAGATTAAGATTAGATATGCCTTTATAGCTTTATTCAACCTTCATTGACAGCTGATCTCATCAGATCAAGAGCACTTAATCGTCAGGGGTTTCGGCTTTCTCGCTGGAAACTGACGTAATCTACCATTTAGCTGTGCGCTGGTTCAGGCATGGGACAGTTGTGGAGCGGTTCTATTCTCTGTGTTATAAAATCAAAAGAAAAAGGTCACAGCAATATTGAACTGCGCAACCCTTAGTGGTTGGCAGACCTCCCTCCACACTGATCAAAAGCTTGCAAAGAAAAGATGGGCTTTAGTTGCAAATATATGCAACATGGCATTATTTGTTGTGAAACTTTGACTTTGAAGGCCAATCAGTGACAGCAACTCCACAGACTTTCACTGTTTACAGAATTGAACCAGCACTCAAGATGTTGCAGCCTTTAGAAGGACATTAATCTGTTCTCAGAGCCTCTTTTGATGTGGAAGGAGTAGATGCAGATGGAGCTTATTGAAAAGCATTGTGATGACAGCTCTTGGGACATAAATATGTGAGCAAACTTTCTCTTATAACACTGAACAGGCAGGCTGCAGGTCAAGATAACTGACAGTTACCTTTGTGCTTTGAATCTCCACTACAAGACTTGCAACTGACCTGACCTTGTAACTCTGGTTTTTGTGTACAATAAAGTTGTACTAACTCATTTACTGGCTTTGCACATCATTTGGGTACATTCATTTTGCTTCATAATTTTTATAATTATTCATTTTTTCCCATCTCTTAAGTTTTAACCCCATGATCTCTGCTGTTGCTTTTTGTACCTGACTCAACAAAAAGGAACCTTTCGGTCCAGTTAACAGCTACAGTCCCGTCTTACCTGTTGGAAACTTTCTCTCAGGTGACTCTGGTCCTCAGGATGGCAGAACTCCAGGATATCTTTCCCCAGCAGGTCCTACAGGACAGTATAACAGTTGGTTAACAGAGGTTTATCCTCTTAAAAAGAGGGTTTGTTTGACCAAACAACACAAAAAAACATATATCATATTCCATATTGCATTCTACAGTAGGATTACAATGTCCACAGATTGTTTTTGTCTATTAAATAAACCGATAGTCAAAAACAGATCTTACATCTACATATTGGAAGAGATAGTAGTAGTAGTTGTTAGTAAAAGCAAAGGCTGGCACAGTCAGAGTATACACTAAACAAACTAATGTAGATCACAGATGATGCTGCGTTGTTCTGAATACTATTAATTGGTTAATTAACCAACAGCTGAGTTCCAACTCAGTATTTCTGTTTTCATCTGATTTTGAAATGAAACTCAGATATTAAATGCAGGTTTCCTTACAGGTGAAAGGGAATTGTGGATGTTGCATTGCAGATGATAATAAATGAAATGCCAGATATCTCATTTCAGAAGAAAGATAAATGTGTTGCAGTAAAAGAAAAAAAATGCTCTGCAGGAAAATAAGAAGTTTCTCCTCCAAACAGGACGTGTTTGTTATGAATGGTAATATAACAGCATGACTCTGTTTCCGAGGTGTCTTGTTGAGTAATGGGAGAAATCAGTCAACAAAGACACAAGCTGACTGGCCACAGGAATGTGTTTGACATACTAGTGCAGGCAACAATTCTTTTTCATCTTGGTCTGCTTATTTCTACTGTCAACACACTAACTCGTGTGCATAGCTGATAATGCAAAGTACTGGGGAGTCATGGAATTTGCTCCTCATGTGAAACATGAGGAATTCATCTGAGACCATAGCGTGACTGGGGTACTGCAACAGAGCCTTAGTGAATTATTTTAAGGTTAGGGGGTCAAAGTCATTGAAAACAAGTGTTTGTGATTCACATATGAAGCCTCTGACAACTGGCAGGTGGTCATGTTGTGGAACTGGACACGTTTTTTGCATATTTCTTTTATGTTTGGTCTAAACAGTAATATATTTTGGAACTAGACTGATCACACTAATAAAAGCGTATAGAACAAGTAAAGGTTGGTTGCTAATGAAAGCCAGGCAGGAAACATACTCACCGCTCTGCTGCTCTCACTATTTCTTTCACAAAAATACAACAAATTAATTCCATTTTGACGTTCTTTTGATCGTTCTTAAGTTACCGCCATTACACTTCCTGTAGATGTTTCACAAGCCTACCAGGAAGGGGAGGGATTATGCCTTTGAGCAACTGGAAGGCTTTAATATGAAACAAATATGCAGGAAGTGTTGAGTTTCAATCCAAGCAGCAATCCAAGAGGTTTCAAAGTTGAAGCGCCTGGTTTTAATTAGTGAATGAAAGATGTTATTCTGTTTAAATGAGAGAAATGTGAGTATGACTTGACTCTGTTTATATACTGATGGAATTACTGAGTGGGAATATCCATTACACTGAATTTATCAAGACAACAAAAAATGGAGAAACAACGAGGCTTCATACTTACACTGGATCAAATATTCATCAGAATGAGGAAACTTATAATTATAAGGAATTTATAATATACTCTAATATAAGCATTTGTTTTAGGTGAAGGCCTGGTTCTTTAAATAGAACAAGGACAAAACTTAAAGCTGCAGTAGTAACTTTTGTAAAAATAAACTTGTCATATTTGCTGAAACTTTCACTATATCCTGACAGTAGAACATGAGACAGATAATCGGATCAGGTTGGCTTTTATTGGTTGTTTTCATTCAGGCCCGGTGGATTCTTGCAAATGTCATTAGAAGCTCTAGGAGGAGCCAGAGGAACCTGATTTTCTCAGATTATCTGTCTCATGTTCTACTGTCAGGATATAGTAAAAGTTTCAGCATATATGACAAAAAGTTATTTTTATAAAAGTTACCTACTGCAGCTTTAATCAAAACCCTACGAAAGATCATTGCTGTCAGTTCACTGTGGATATGAACATGTGAGGACAATGCAAATTACCCTCACATAAAACTTAAAAACAGATGATGACACCATGAATTATGAATCCCCCGCTGACCTGAGGCTGATAACCAATGACGTTGATGCAGCGCGGGTCGACAAAAGTGATGACACCATCCGAGTTGTGACGTGACAGGAACTCTGTGGGCACCGACAGGCCGTTCATATCCATAGAGACTGGAGAGCTGGTCACCTGAGGGAGAGCGCACACACATGTAGCTGATACAGCATTCAGGCACAGGGACCAAGATATTTAAGACAAGGAGAGATGAGGGATAAATAATACTTTCACTAACATAGACCACGCCAACAGCTGTATGGATTAAGAAAAGTTTATTACACGTTATGAATGAATGTGGAATGCTGTGGGATGAATGATGATGATGAAATGAGGTGAGTTCGGGGCGTGGTCTTTGTTCCCGAACCTAGTTCTAAAACTCCATATATCAATAGCCGTGTTTACATCCAAATGTTTGGCAAATTGTAACCGAAATTTCAAGTATTTTTGAAAAAAGTATAAAAAAGTATCCGTACTTGGCCTGCGACTATCAATAGTGACACAGTGTCAACTCACTGAAGCTGCGAGCTGTTTCAGAAACATTTCTGATTAAGTGATAGTGGAAACCACAGCATCGATGATAGATTTTTGCTGCTGTGGTTCAGATTATAATAGTGTTTACCCATCAAGAATAAGGGAACTGAAAAGGAAATGAATAAAAACAAATCTATTGATAAAATAAATAAATGAAAATACAAATAGGATGTAAAGAAATGTGTCTTTAAATGAGGAAATCAAAGTGACAGTAATTCAATGAGTGAATAAGTAATGGGCCATAATTAATAAATATAAGTAGATTTCCTCCATTCCACTGGGCACGTTGGTGTAGTTAGTTGCCTGCCTTTTGTTAAATTGCTGAGATTTTGTTGACTGGGTCTTTTTTCCTTGATTTATGTGCTTATACCATGGGTAAGTAAGCTACGTCATTAAATGGTTTTCTTTTCTGTCTGTTTTACAATCATGAGTCTGCAAGGGTGTTTTATTTATAAAATTTACCAGATTCTCTATGCCATTTCAGACTTCCTGCCCGGGTTGATCTGCGCTGCGCCGAGCTGTGCAGAGCAGAGAGCCGCTTCTGGAACGCTAATGAAACTCGCTGCTGCTGGTTGTTTAGAACGGCAGCGATCAGTTCCAGCGGCCACGTTGCGGCTGGAACGCAATGCAGCTGTGCCCGTTGGAATTAGCCAATTAGTGTAAGCAAAATCTTTTCGGTAACAAACACTATAGCGAGCATGAATTTATGTCAGTTATGATTGATACCAAAAGTGACAAGTTTCCATAAAAAAATAATCAATCAAATTGAAAATCCCTCAACCCACTCCTGCAGTAATTCCACTCCTCCACTTGAGTTGTGTGTAAAATATGACTAAATTCACAGCTTGTCCAATTATTGCCCCTTTCCTCAGAGGCTGAGATGGATGCAGCATATTTAGCAATAATGTGTTGATTATTTAAAACATACTCTCTGACAGAGGGACAGATGAGAAGCGAATGATGCTGGTTTAATATGGACACTTTGATACTAAAGGTTTAGTGTTTTATTGTGAAATCAAAGTGGGGCACCTGCAGTCTTCCGATGGCCACTAGGCAGTATTTTCCAGTCTGACCCGCCTCTGTGTCTTCATCTGGTATAGTCATACCTGAGGGAAAGAGGGTCAGAGACAGAGACATTTAACAAACATTTCTCATAAAGTGTAACCACTTACTTTTCCATTTGCTACCTGAACTGTGCAGCAGTGAGAGGTAATCTACTGGCTGACATGGCACAATGATTTACAATGATTTATAAAGCATGTTTTTACCATTAAGCCTCCACGACGCAAGATGGATTTGAGCCACAATACCAGAATCATTCAAAGAATATATTCAAACCTGCTCCCCCTCAGTCTAATACAAATAATTCAGTACAAAAGGGAGGGGGAAACAGATACATGCAGACAAATCAATTCCAACTTCTACCATCAAACATAATGTATCTCAGTAAGTTTCACTCACAGTAGCATCAGCATTGTACACTGCCAGCCATCGTGTCACTGACTGCATTTCAACTACTGAAGCTGGGTGGGGGCAACTGCTGGCCTTGCATAAGGTTTACATTAAATTACATTTCTCACATTGTGATATTGGAATATGATTGCTTTTATTTAAAGGTCCAGTGTGTAACATTTAGGAGGATATATTGGCAAAAATTGAATATAATGTTCAAAGATATACACAAATTTGGGCAAGTTTGATTGTGGTGGCGTCTTCCTACGATATGTGAGCATCTGAATGCTAGTGTACAGAATTTACATACAGAAAAATACAGAACTTTTTAACAATGTCTCAGAAATGGGGAAGAAACTGTTCAGTTATCAGCTGCTTCAACATCAACTTTAGAAAAAAACTGAAAGAAAAACACACTTCAACACACTGGTTCTTTAACCCAGAATATAAGGATTTTACAGTGACCCTCAAAAACATGGATGATCCTAAAGAAACCAAAGAGCATCCACAGCCCCTCCAAAGGCCTCAGGGAAGAGTCTATAAAAATATATAGACGGTCTGTAATCACATTTTTACATTTACTTGGGTGCTGTTTCATGGTAGTAATCACAGAGCAACAATGGCAATTTCCCATAGGGTTGAAAGAAAGGAGCCTCCACATAAAAACAAAACCATGACTCTGTCCTCATTCATGGATGCATTCCTCTCCTCTAGCACAGTTCAGTCAGCAGCAGCTGTACGGGTGCCTTAGTGCACAACTTATGTGTGTCTGCAGCTCGTGTCTCTCTGTTATCCATCTGCGTTTTATGAGTGTGAGTGTGTGTTTTGCCTGATGACCCTTCGCCAGCGGTATTGTGTCCAGAACATTCCAAAGGGGTATTTTTAGTGCAAGGAAGTGAAACATGTGTCAATAATTTCAAAACACACATGGTGTATGTGTGTTTGTGTTATACCTGGAACTATTCCAGCATGAGCTCAAAGTTATGCGAGGGGATTTAGTCTTCTTTTACTTGAGGCTGTCCAGTTCCATCACCCCACTTCACCACATCAGCCATCAAGACACCGGGTTTAAGACCAAGAGGGTGCATTCTGATCCCTGTCTCTGCACAGTGTGAGTGTGTGTGTGTGTTTCTGTTGCAGTCAGAGAGTACATCCAATGCCTTGTGGATTCTCACAACTGGTGTGCCTTAGATCCACTCCAGTTATACTGGTACACGGTATGAGAGTTTCCTTACATTAGTACACAGTATATAACAGCTAAAAAGATATCTGAGAGTGAAATCTATCAGTCCTAAGACTGAAGACGTAAATATTTAAAAGCAGCTCAAAGACACATAGTTTAAATGAATAAAAACAAAAGACTCAGCTGGTTGTAACCCAAACAGGAGGAAATGATGCGCTTGTGTGGGACTATTTTCAGCGATGAATTAATCCACATTTAGTGCTCTAGTGATGTGTGATCTCAATTACTGTGTGACAAAATAAACTACAGTGTGTGTGTGTTTATGGTAATGAAGGAACATGTCAGCCAGTGCAACAGTGTGGCTCACTGACAGC